AGTAATAATTCTCTATTATACATCATTAGCGGAACAAATCAAGACAACATTATCTTCTGAAATGAGATATATTGCAGGTTATGGGATTCAAGATATATCAGTGTGAGGTAACTTTCAAATTGGGATTTGAGAGCGAAATATTGTGGTTACATATGTATATTGAGTGCATGTGATTGCCCATTCATGAAAATATTCAATCCCACTACTGAAAACATTCCAATCTTAGATTCCATTATCGACTGTGCTGATTATGCTATGCCAGCCGTAGGATTGGTCCCACTTGTTAAAACATGCATCTTCAAAGTTTACTTGTAATCATGTCTGTTTTTACTTTTTATCAATTTTATTTCGTCTTGTAGGCTAGCCTCTAATGGATGATATCATTCCCATGAGTGAGAAAAGGGGCTCTTTTGAGTTCATGTCTCAAAATAGTATTTTAAATTACTTTAAAGAATAAAACCATACAAATATCTATCAAATATAATGACAACATTCCTTTCTTCAATTATTGCAAACACCGGTTTTGGAGATTTTCGTTGTAGAGATTTTCACTTACCAATGACTCTTTAAGATTTATCTAGGGGTTTTCCCATACACCAAACAAAAGAAAAATGTCTTGACAAAATCTAAAAATGTATGGATTGAGTTGGTGAGGGGCATGGCATATCTTTCTGGAAATCATTACTCAATAACCCCCCAACTAAAACATAAAGATAAGAAGAGAGGAAGGGAAAGAGAATAAAGATAACAGGCAGCGATAATGACGTTGCTCGAAAATATTAATAAAGTCCGATTGCGTTCATGTGTAATGTGCCCAGGATTCAAAAGCCAACCTTCCCAATCTCTTTCTGAGAGCATATAGACCAGGTGACCTTGGGGCCCACGGAACTGAAAGTCGATATAAAGCTTCACTGATCCAGATATTGCTTTGTTGAACGATTGCTTCTGATCTTTGCAAGGACTCACAATTCAAATTTCCACCGACAGCATATATCAGATTGGATCTTCATGCACGAGAGTAAAAGAAATAATTAAAAGCAGAATTAAGTACTGTGAGTATACATTTGAGAGGTACGTTATGGATAAAGAAGTACGTCTATGCAAATCAAGACGAACATGCAAATAAATTCTGTATATATATATATATATATATATATATATACGCTAAAAGTGCAATCCTAAAGTTGTTTAAGAGATGAATATGCTAAACAAAAAATGCAATGGAGAAAATAGGTGATTCTTTCGGAAAGACACGAAATTGAATAACATATCACTCAACTTTCACTCTTGTGCACATATATCAAAAGTTCCCGGCTAAAGAATCAAACCGTCCATAGAGTATTAGCTGGCATATTAAACGATATAAAATATGTCTTACAGATATAAATCATATTCAAAGTGCACACAAATAGTCACCATATGGGCACAGACACAAAACAGACATGAAATATACGTGTCTGTGTGTGACCAGAAGTGCAATAACAATGTCAGGGTTTACAAGGAAAATGCAGGCTGAGAGAGGACAGAATGGCATGGAGAGAAAGGAAGCACTAGTTTTAACAGATTTTAGAGTGGTAAAATAACTGGATCATTTTTTCGTTTTCTTATCCAGGGTTTGGCTGAGAAGAGAAAAGCCATAATGGGAATTCAAGGAGTAAAAATAGTGTTCATATTCAAGATCAGACATTTAATATTTACACTATCCAATAAAAAGAAATTTCTCAAATAAATAAGCATGTCTTTCTCGAATTTTGATGCGATATCTGATTTCTTGTCACTGAAATAACTGAATGACTGTTAGTGCCTAGCACTTGAACAGAGTAGATATGTATTTAGAAAATATGAAAGTCTATGTAAAGTTTATCCGAAAGTCACTTACTCGCAAAACCCATAGGTATACCGCTGATCAGACAATAGAATGTATCAGGTGCCTGAAACATACGATTGAAACCTCAATGACGTACAAATATACAACAAAATATAAAAACGTGAAGACACGATCTTGTACGTGATAAAAATGATTCATAAATGGAAATAATCTAACCTCATCAAAATGTTCACATTTATTAGGTAGTTTGGTTTTGTCGTGACAAGGAGTGCAGTGAGTGTAACGCTTGAATGCCATCCGGCCATGGAAGTAAGATGGACAAATTATGTATAGATGACGAAAAGAGGACTTACACATTTCGATCAAGAACTCTGTTCACGAACCAATTTACTTGACTATGAATGTTTATCCTCCAGATCAAAATATGGCCTATGAAGAACAAAAAGTTATCAGTCACTGTATAACCAACTATTATGTTTATCAGCAAGAATACATAGAATCTTTTGCAACTGCACCTACTACAACGATGGAGGCATCTTACTATTGCTTGAAAGGATAATTCCCAAATGTAACCAGAAGAGCTTCACCATGCAAAGAAAAACTTACCAATTTCAAAAAGAACATCAAGCAGATCTATGAAATTGCATAAGCAAACATACTTCCTGCAAACAAAAAGTAGGATATTTGTCAAAACAGAAATACATAACATCTTTATTGTGAAATCAAGGAAAAATAAAAGGGAAAGGATAAGTAAAGTGGAAGATGACTAATTCAAAGTGAAATATTGAATGAAGGCATGTCTGTGTTAGCAATCAAACCAGCATTTTCAGCAAAAATGACCAAAATTTAATTCTCTTGAGGAAGACAATTTAAGGAGATGGAAAAAAATTAAACCAAATGTGACCAGTCAAGGCTGGAATATAAAGACCAACAAAACGTAGAAGAACTTATAATTTTGCAAAAATTCGAGAAAGTATGAACTGTTAAGCATATGAAAATCAGAAGTAAACAAAAATTTTATATCAGGACAAATAAAAGGGAATGTCCATTCCCTGATGAAATCCACCCAAATTACTAATGTAAAGGACTCAATAGTCACCCAAATGAACCAAACATATCATATATACCAAGTAAAGAGAAAAAAGTGGGAGGAAAACCACAGACAGAAGTAGCAGTCATGCAATCAATCAACATTGCCATAGATGAAGAAAGACGCCTTTTAACGCTATTTAAAATCCATCACAATATGAAGAAAGATGCCTTCCTGTATTTATATTAAAAACCAAACTGTATCCGAAAATGACAAGTGCCATCTGTCCATCCTAGGAAAGAAGGGGAAAACTTGAACAGGATCGAAATACCTTGTCCTAGAATCAGGACAGCATTAGCAGCCAAGGGAACAATCTCTTGGATTTTTTCACTGGTAAAAATCGCTTGTGTAACTGCTAGAAAATAAAAGCAAAAACTTAGTTTCAGAAAGTTAAACAAACATTTTATTTTCAACTTTAACAAATAACATAAGAATACTCAAGTAGACAAAAATAGGAAAAACTCAAGACACATAATATGCGTAAAATCAAGCTCAAGAATTCCAACGAGTACAAGTTAGCATGAAATAAAGAACCTAGAAATGTATGAAGAATGGTTGGCCCTGAAGTTCGGAGGATCTTTCCCTCGGTATCTTTTGTTTCAGAATTATCAAAGGAAGTATCTGTATCAGAGACTGTCATCAGGTGCACACTATGACATCCATCTGAGATCCAGATATTTCGTGTCACTGCAATTTAGTGGGTAGATATGTTGAGTTAATGAGAATAAATTGCCATTTTAAGTTATAGAAACTTCATCAAATATAATTATGGTATTGTTTACACAATATCCTGTTATTTTAAAATTTCATGAGAAACCTCGAAGTTGTACCTGAGGACACATCTTCAAAAACAGCCAGCTTTTGAACTTTCATCGTGCGATTCAACCTTTTCATGAAGCGAGGTTCATTCATTCCTTGGATGGAAAAAGAAAGGGATAAAAGGTGAACATTTCCAATACTGTCTAAGACCACAAAGTGTTCCGTGGATAATGCCTGGATTGAGATAGCCTTGATAGATCTCCTCGCTTTCTCCGTTGATATGGAATCTCCTACATTCTTATCCTCAAAAGCAACAAAAAATGAACCCACGTCTTTGGAATCTTGTCTTAGTTTTACGGACCTCGACTTCACTGCAAGTCACAATGCATAATCAGCAGCTGTGGCAGACGGAAAAAAAAGTGGGCATTTCAGATGCATCAACTACAAATTAAATCTGGCACAAAAGTAAATAGCCGATTTAAATGTTCGTGCATGACTTAAGGGGCAATAAGTCAGTCGAGTCCTATCAATGGCACATGTTAGGGTGCATGTATAACATTATTATCCATGAAGATTTAAACATGCAAACCAGTCAATAAATTAAATGCTAGGCATTTGACGTATTCAACAACCTAAGACGTGTCAAACCGCTAGCGTCATAACATATATGTTCGAATCAGCTGTTATGATTAAAGGTCAGAACAATTCCAATTTCTAATCCATAAACAGTAAAAGACATTAAAAGGAACTCATAACAAGCTCACCAGATTCAGAATGCTTATCTCCACCTTGCCCCAAAGCTTTTCCTCCATTGCTAGACTTTGCAACATCAACCCCATTACTCAAGCCATTTTTCGAGCTATTCCTTTTACCACCGTTCTTCTTCTCCTTTCTTTGATTCCCTTTGATCAGCGGCCTCAAGGGGAAAACCCTAACCCCATTCTCCTCACCAAGAACCAAAAACCCAAACAAAACCCTAACTGTACACACCGGAAACCAACAATTAACCACCGCACACTTAATGAGCTTTAAAGCTTCCCCGCCGCCTTCATCCCCAATCAATCTCACTGCAAAAACCCAAATCTTCGAACTCGAGACCGAGTACATGGAGAAAACGTTGGCTCCCCCGGACAATTTAACGGAGACCCCATGGCTGGCCCTAAACACAGCCCCCCACCTGGCGGGATCGAACTCGAGATCCCTGTGGCTCGAGACGACCCTGATTCTGGCAAAGCGTCCAGCGCGGAGGATGTAGAAACGGAGGAGGACGGCGGAGGGGACGGGAGTGGAGGCGAGGAAGAGCGTGACGGCGGGATCGGAGGAGTTGCGGAGGTGGAGGAAGGCGGCGGAGGAGGTGGGGGAGGGGACGAGGACGTGCGGGGAGGGGAAGGAGAGGGGGGAGAAGGAAGGGTAGAGAGAGAAGGAAGAGTCGGAGTGGCGGAGGGCGAGGGAGCGTGAAACGACGTCGTAGAGGAGGGAGTCGGTGCGGGGTGACGCGGTGTGGAGGGGTTTGGGGAGGCTCAGTTGACGGCCTTCTATTTCCGGGGACATGATACTTAATTAATTAATTAATAATAGTAATTGCAATCGGAGTTAGGTAATTTGAGGGATTTGGGGGATTCTTGAGCTATTTTCGGGGTGTTGTAGAGAGAAAGAGAAAGTGTGAAGAAAAAAGAATAGAAGACGAACCGAAACTGAAGAAATAAAATATGATGGTGGTCCCGTGTGTATTTTTATCTGTTTTGGTTTCGGGTTTTCGGACAAACTTGCAGTATATATAAGTCGGTGCGAATAAAGTGTTGTCCTCCTATTGGCCGGAACTCTTGTTACATACGTAGTTGACATTCAACTCAATTTGGTTTGGGGCGGATGTGCTGCACCGAATTGCCTTGTGCCACCTGTCAAGGAGCAGCGTTGCACTGCCGGGTTCTAGGCTTTCGGGTGTTGATGCAGTTCATTTGTTTTGTCCTGGGTTATCTCACATGATTGTTATCTAGATTAATTTCTTGGTTCGATCCCTAGGTTTTGTGCAAAAGTGTAAGTTATTTGGGTGTTAGGCCCAATGGAGGATAATGAGAATTCGAAAATGGAGAACAAGGAATTGGAAGAGAAACTGGGGCAACGGTTGGGGAAAGTCTCTCTGTCGAAGGCAGGAAACATATTGAGGAAAAGGATGTTCGTGCGAGCGAAGAGGAGTGCCACATAAGCTTATTTGGAAAGGTTGTGGGCGATAGGATGGCTAATAGGGTAGGATGGCTAATAGGGTAGGAATCAAATGCACAATGGGAATAATATAGAAGCTAGGCATCAATTAGAGGTAAGGGAACTCAGTGTCAATTTCATCCAATTCATTTTTCATAATACTACAGGATATTATATTAGATCGGTTTTAATGAATAAAAAAGAAATATATTGGAGAATAAGCCTACACATGGGCTAGGACACGTGGCATTATAGTATTAGACAAGTCCAACTTGGGCCATAAGGTACACTCTCCCTGTAAAAGAGGCTAAGGTATCTCATTCTCTCTACGTTGATTACTATTCTCTTGAGATTTGGAGTTTTTGAGTGATATTGACTTGAGCGTCGGAGGCCCGACCTCGTGACCCTCCCGGCGTTGGGTTCTTGCAGGTATGGGAGCCGTTCGAGTTGAAGGAGCTCGGGTGAAATCCATTTTCGCCAACATTGACGCCGTCTATGGGGACCGTTCGAAAAGCCAAACTGAGTTCCGGCCGAAAAAATTCAAAAATTTTCTAGTAAGCTCCTTCACCTCCACTGACCGCCGCCGTCGGCCGCCGGCCAAAGTGCCCCGATCAGAAATTTTTTTACGTCATTCACTACTAGAATTTGTTACATTAGTAACGATTTTTTGCAACGGATTAATATTGGTGCCATAGTTACGGTATTAGTAACATAATTTTGCAACGGAATTAAAATGGTGTCATAGGTATGAGTTTTTGCAACGGAATCTAATTTAGTTTTATTATGAAACCACATTTCCTTTATTGAATTCGAATAAAAAATAATAATTAATTGTTGAAATTAAATGTACATAATAAGATTTTTTTTAAATTTGAATTTCAAATAAAAGATTCTTTATGATGATTAATGTCAAAAATGGTTGCCTTATATACTACTTTTGAATAACATTAAAGGGACTAAAAATTAGCCTAAGTGAAGTGATCTTACCTCGATTTGAAAATTAGCGATTTGAATTTTTGATTTTGGTTGTCCTCAATTTTTCTGGCTTGTCCTCGCAATTGGTTTTCATTTATTAAAAAAAAAAAAAAGTTATACTCTGTAGAAGCGGCTCGATCAGTTCTATCATATACTTTATATCCTCACTCGAAATTACCAGTGAAATAAGGAGAGCACATAAATCGACACCACGACGTAGTTCATCCTTCTATACAAGAGGCTTCTAATGATAAAAATTATATGTATGTAAAATAAAAATGTCGAACAATGAAAAACATATATATAGATAATTCTATATTAATTTAAGTTGGACAAAATTTGGTTATTGGATGGCATTCACGGTATTTATTTTGAAAAAGCCTTATTACTTATACAAAACAAATAAAACAAAAAGAAAAAATAAAATATTGAAAAGGAAAACTACTTATACAGAATAAAAAAAAAACATAGTAATAATAAAAGAAATAAAAATGGAAAAGTTGGACACAAGTACACAATACCGCAAAGCTTAAGTGAGGGGCACTGGAGTGAGGTGTATCCGCCACCGCATACTACTGGAACTCAGGCCGAGGAATTCGGTTAAACAGATTATTCATTAGTCGGAACTTTGTCCATCGTTTATGAAGGTAAACTTTATTTGAAGTGGGTTTATATCTGAGCCATTTGTTCATGTTATTCAAGTACCAATTCGATTCTTTGAATTTGATATGAAACTGATGATTTGCCCTTGAAATTTAGAAATGATTATATAGAAGGTTTTGGTAACTTTGTGATAAAGTGAGCAAAAATTGATGAAATTGATGGATTAGATACTGACAATTAGAGCTCTTTTCTATTATGGTTTGGAAAGATTTGGGATTATTAATTAGAGTCAAAAGAATCCAACCATTTCTCTTCAAATAATCCAAAATTGCTTCTTCTTTTTCTTTTTTTGGTTCAGTTTTTCTCACAATAACATGATTGTATATTTCTAACATCCGAAGAAGTCGAAAGCATCTCTCTTGCCTTTAGTCATGTACCAGAGTTCTCTCTGATTATAGGCTTATCTTGGAACATTTGGTCGTACTTGTTGAATATGTTTTGAAAATTGAATGCAAATACGCTAGAAGGCTAATACAAAGCTCGAGTACATTTTAAAATGGATTCTTTTTGGACAAGACTAAAATAAAATATATATGAGTTATGGTAAATAAAATATATATGAGTTATGATAACATGGAGATATAATAATTTTTCTTTACAAGTTTTGTGAATTATGAATAAAGTATATATGAGTTATGATGAATTCTTAGTGGTGTCTTGATTTTTCGGCTTACGCCAAATTAAATTTGATTACTAATGAGAAATCTATTTTGCAGAATGTCTTTTGATCGAAGTTAGATGTTCAACCAACGAGACAGTAGTGGTTTTCTTTCTGATGGGTTTATAAAAGGGGTGAACGAGTTCCTTGATTTTGCATTTTCACGGCTTGGCAATAGAAAAAGGGTCTGATGTCCTTGTGCACGTTGTCGCAATACTGAGTTTCGTGATCGAGAAGATATTAAGTATCATGTTTACAACTATGGATTTGTTAGTGGTTATGATCAATGGGATGCACATGGGGAACCTTTTATCCGTGCAAATTCTGCAACGGAAGTGCTGGAAAAAAGTGCAGAACACCATGCAACAAAGGTTATGGTAATTGATGCAATGGGGCCTGAAATGCATCATGAATATTATGATTATCATAATGACGTGGAGCCAGAAGTCCCAAATGTCAAAGCTAAAGAATTTTTTACATTGTTGGAAGAGGCCTATAAATCTTTGTGGCCTGGGTGCACCAAACAGAGTAAACCTTCTGCTACTTCTCAACTGTTGAACTGCAAGTCTGAATTTAATATTCTGGCACTTGTTTTGATCGTCTTACAAGCATAATAAAGAGTATGTTGCCAGAAAATAACAAGCTTGAGGACAGTTTTTATAAAACTAAGAGAATGCTACGAATCCTTGGCCTCGGGGTTACAAAAATACATGCATGTGCCAATAATTGTATTTTATACTACGCTGAATATGAGAAGATGATGGAATGTCCAATTTTTAAGCACTCGCGATTTAAAGAAAAATGTGGCAAAAAAGTGCCTCACAAAGTGCTTAGGTACTTACCTCTAACTTCTCGTCTTCAAAGGTATTTTATGTCTAGACATACTGCAGAACATATGCTATGGCGTTCAAAAAATACTGTTGCTCATGGTGAAATGTCACATCCCGTACATAGTGAGGCTTGGAAGCATTTTGATAGAGAATACCCGCATGTTGGCCTTGATCCACGTGGTGTTCGTTTAGGTTTATGTACATATTGGATTTTGCCCTTTCAATATGGGTAACTCAAAATACTCGTGCTGGCCTGTTATACTCACAGTCTATAATTTCCCTCCATTGATGTGTATGAATCAGAATAGCATATTTCTAAGTATGGTGATTCCCGGACCAAAAACTCCTGGAAAAAATCTTGATGTATATTTGAGGCCGTTAATTGATGAACATACAATTTTGTGGTCTGAAGGTGTTAAAACATTTGATGTTCATAAAAAACAAAATTTTACTACGAGAGCAGCATTGATGTGGACTATTAGTGATTTTACGGCTTACGATATGTTGTCAGGATGGAGCACACATGGTCAGTTGGCTTGTCCATATTGCATGGGTTCAACAAAATCTTTCAGACTAAAATTCGGCCAGAAGACCACATTTTTTTATTGTCATCGTTGTTTTCTCCCATTGGATCACCCTTTTAGAAGACAACGTGATAATTTTTTACGAGGTAAAATAGAAAATGATATGGCGACGCTTAGATTATCTGGTGAAAAGATGCGGGATATTGTTAATAACCTTTCAGGTGTTGTTAGTGGCTCATCTATGAGAAGCTCACAAATAGATGGTTTCGGACGGACGCACAATTGGGTTAGAAGAAGCATTTTTTGGGAGTTGCCTTATTAGCATACTAATTTGATACGGCATAATTTGGATGTGATGCATATTTAGAAGAATTTCTTTATAATGTGTTTAACACAGTCATGGATATCAAGGATAAAACAAAAGATAACATCAAATCGAGAAAGGATTTGGAAATTTATTGTAAGCGCCCGCAACTTCATATTATCCAAAATGATATTGCTGAGATAAAGCGGCAAGGTAAAGATGAAATTGCTGAGATTAAACAGGAAATGAAACGTCGGGCAAGAAAGGATCATCGAGAATTAAGTCGACAGTTACCTGAAATGATTCGCAGCATGCTTCGAGAACTTAATCTCCCTAACTCAAAATTTCCTTCAGGATCGAGAACGAAATAGTGTTTCTTTTGTGTCCAGTTCTTAGGTGCTTGAAATAAAAACAATCATGTCTATTTTTATTAATATTTTTTTTTGTTGGGTGTTCTAATACAAGCGTGGTTTTGAATTTATATATATATTATCTTAGGAAAAAAACATGCAAAATATGTAAACATAAGTTAAAACGATTCTAGAAAACTTTGAAAATAAATGAAAGAAATGGAAACATATGGTTATATTTTATAAGATTTAGAACAATGTATAATCTT